CTATTCTGAATGACAAAGCCAGTTGGGCTTATAAGCAAACACCTCTTCAATCATGTCACGAAAAAAATGTACTGTATGTATACTGGTGAAATTATCAGAGGTGTTAATTTGCATGTGCTATTGCAATTAGAGGCATCTTTTATCACTGGTATCTGTCATTAAGAAGCTATCAAACATTCTAGACAGATGAAAGAAAGTTTACATGTAACACATGGCAGAAACAATCACCATGTTTCCCACTGATTTCAGCACATGTTGGTGTGTATGTGTAATCTATTTCAATGAATGTTGCTTTTTTTTTGCACCTTGAAAGCTTTCGAAGCTCGTGCATGGCCCTGGTTCTATCATTGCAGGTGCTCTGTGAGGAAATTTATCGAATTCTATAATGAAATTGTACTTTACAGATAATTAACAGTTAAGTTACAATTTCAGGTGTGGTGTCCACTTTTAAAACTGGCAAATGTGGTGTCCACTTTTAAAACTGGTAATTTTTTTAATATAATGACTAATCAGTAAATTATTTAAATGGGTGTATTCCTTTAAAAAAAAATTTCATCGATATCTTATCATATGTTTTATGTTGGCTGTAAAAAACAAATTAACTGCCGCACTGTTATTAATGCACAAAGTCTTTTCTAGTCTTATCCTGCAAAATCAAGACTCCATAAAATACACAATTATTGTGAATCTCGTGCACTAAAACACCACTAAATACTATCATTATGTGATGAACACTTTGGGAGATAAATCTTAATCAAGGCTATAGCAGAGATGTTTGTAAAATTAATACATTTGTATTATTTACTCACATACAATATACATCAGTCTGGCACTGATGTGCCAAATAACACATTTACCATCTTAGAGGTTTTAAGAATTGTAAATAAATTTCTAAGTGGTGCTATTAAACATGTATGATGCCAAAGTCGGGGATAAATCTTACCTCTTATCTTAAGTGTTAAAATACCTCTTGAAAACTGTTGAAAACTTGCTTGTAATTAAAGGTGAAACAATCTGAAAGCCCGATTTATGGCTCAAGTATTAACACGTAGTTTGAAGTGCTGTGGTTACGGGGTATACTGTTCCTCAAATGTACATGTTAAATATATGAATGTATACCAAAAATAAAAATTTTGCAAAAGAAGTTGATGTGGAATTTTATAACATGCCTTAATTTTTTTCCTTTTCCTTTTCTATAGATTTTATCCAAATGCCCTTTTTTCAGTCAGGTTTTTATTACTATATTTTTTGGAGGGGATTTTTTTTAATTGGGGAAAATATTTACTTTTCTGTAGGGTGGGGGGGGGGGAGAGACTTTTTGCACTAAAATCGACAGTGTCAGTCTAAAAGGGCAAAGGGGCCCTTACTATAAACATAAACCTATTCTCTTTAAAAGGTCTATTTTTTCTCTTTATTATCACAACACTATTAAAAATTTTTGCTCATAATCAAAATTCAATCAAAGAGGATACACATGTACTGTTTTACTTTATGATGAATAGGACTACATGGAAATCACATCGGCAATATAACTCTTCAAAACATAATATGAAAATCAAATCCGAGAAAATACATTAAGACAAAATATTAATGCAGAATAAATTAATTGCTAGAATAGACATTTACATTATTCTCATTATGATAATCTGACTTTATCCTAATGTTTTCCCTTTTATTCCTTTTCCTATCCCATTAACATTTACAGTTTTTTACGTCCCAATGACTGTAATACCCCACCCAGCTGTTGCAGTAGTCAATCAGGGACAAGATTTCATTATACCGCTCTACCTGATACCCACAATCCCCTTGTTTGTCATTATATCCAGGGATTATGATAAGACTGTGACTGAGGTTAAACAATTTTGCATAACATGCTGTAAAATATGTAACATCAAAGTGTGAATGTTACACAACACAATATCCCAAACTGACTATATAGAATATTAAGGTCCAAGATAAATAGCCCTGTGTTTCTTAAAATAAGATGACTTTTTGTTCCACTTTTTATTGCAAAAAAAAATGGCACTTGATTCCCTTAACATTTTAATGGGTCACAATTGAGGTTTTTTGACGGGACTGGAAATAATTTTTCGAGTTTTGATGTAGGCCTGGACCAATAACTTGTGTTCATTTGCTCACTACCTTTTTCCAGAATAATTATTCTTATTGTGAAAAATGACCGAAATTGCAAATAGGACTAACAAAAGCACAAAAATACAATTTTCTTTTTTTTTCAGAGTATATTTCATAATTATCCTTTGCATTTCTTTGTATTTTAAGTGCCCCCACATATCTATGTAAAACTAGAAATGTGTCCATAGGACATAAGGGTGCCCCCACGTTATTTGACTCTGAAAGTATTTTCAATGCCTGGCACGATCTTTTTCTTTTTGTAAAACCCAGTATACAAATAATTATCTCCCTTTTATTTGAAAGTTTTAGAAGAAAGTTTCATTTTCTTACATTCTAAATTTCGTTTTATTTTTAAATAAAACCAGTGACACACTTCTTTACAAATTTTATTTAATATAAACACCATTTTAAGATAAAATATTCAATTTTCACCCGCCTTTATTTAAAATTAAACCACCATCTGCCATTTGTCCTCTGAACCAAACTTTAAAGTTTTCTTTGCCTTTATTGAATGAGGGGATTACTTGGACTTATATGGCTGTGCAAATTTGATCTGCAACATTTTATCTTAATTGAAAATGGGAAACTATAGAAGATACACTACAGAATAATAGTCAAACTCTAGAATAAAACTATAGAAACATTCTGTAATAGACAGATCAATTTTGTGCGACTTGTTACAGTTATAATTTATAGGACAATGGCAGGTCCTGGACTTATTATGTTATTGAGGGTCACAGACAATTGACTTTTACTATGATGCTTTAGAGACTTTTTTTCCGAAGACATTGGAAATAATCTTGTGAACAATGGATGTTAAATAACAGTGAAACTTGATGTTCTGTTGGATAATTTGACTCATTTTACAAAGGTATCAATTTTTCTTCAGATGTTGTATCAATTAATATAAGGTCCATTAATGCTCTTATCTTTTTATATGAAAAGTAAAAATTCTATGTAAAAATTCAAGAAAGAGATAAGCATTTTTAAGATACAGTACTCTTATTGAGATAATATAATTACGCTTTCATACCAAACCAGAGTGTGAAATCAAAATTTAACTGTCATTGTACATGAAGTTTATAAAAGATATACAGGTTTTCAGTGGTAACAAAGAATACATTTTTGCAAGTTATTGATTTCTTTGTCAAGTGATAAAATGCAATGTTTTGTCACAGTAAATTCTAACATTAATTCATCTTAATTGTCATGGTAATTTTCTGTCATTAGTATATAATATAATCTTGAGTGGCCATCGTTTCATTTAAATTTATCAATTCATTGTCCCTTTTCATTAAGTTTTAGAATAAATTGTTCATTTCTAAAACTAGATGAAGGCTGATTTACATCTAGATCCCTCACTTTCCACCCCCCCCACCCCCAAAAAAAAAAAGGTCAAGACTGGACTGTATTGAGAAATAAAACATATTAAAGAATTTTATGTATTTATGAAAAATTTACATGACAAAATTTTTTATTTTCAAAAATAATCATTATATTGTGTGTCAAAGGTAACCATATTGTAATTTGTTCTATTGTTATACATGTGTTTTCAATTTTTTTAATAAACATAATATTACTATTATAATAAATAATTTATTTTCATACTCCGGCATTGCATAGCATGCTTGGTTGTAATTTGCATTTAAATTACAAAATACATTATCAAGCAAATAATGTTGACTACCATCATTATTGTCAAATATCAACATAAATTCATTCCCTTTACATGAAAAAGAAACTAATTAGATTGGGGAAACTTTTTTTTATCAGAAAATGAAAAGTTAAACCCACTGAGTATAGTAAAGGAAAACCAGGGCCATCAGCTGGCTCCTGGTCAATAACTCCCAACTGGGAACCAGTATTCTTTTGTTCCTGATTGGATGATAAGGATAACTTGATACTTTCCATCCCCCCTCTCTCTGAACTTTAATGGATTATTGATTTTCAGCAAAAGAAAAAGGAGAGAATAATGGGGGCTGTTTTGACTGGAAACTTTGCTACTGTCAATTTAGTATAACTTGTCAGTTGTTAACATGGAATAATCAATTTAAAACTTAAAATGGAAAAAGACCTGTATCAAATTTTTTTATTAAATTTAATTTACAAAATGTAGGTATCCTGTGTTGTTTTTTTACAGCATATTCAGTATATCATGTACTTACATTATTTGTGCATTTTTTTTTTTTATTAAAATACAACATTTTTGAAAAATAAAATAAAGATGTGATCTTTTCAGATCCAAAATTTTTTTCAATGATTTTCTTTCCCATGACTGTGCTTCCATTGCAGATGCATTAAGTATTACAAACTTGTTGGCAACACACTGGTAAAAGTATTGTTTTCCAGATTATCTGTAATAAAGTTATTTCTGGATTTCTACACTCAGCTGACAAGTTATCCTGAATGATCAATACTTTCTAACTAATTTTAATGTCAAGTTGCTGGAATACATTTCCTAATGTCTAAAATGCATGGAAATCTCTTGGGAGAAAAGTTTCATTCCATGATTTATAGAGGCATTAGTTTTGTAAAAGAAATGGGATGACTAGATGTGAATTTCACTTAGTTTCAATTTAGGATATTGTTAACTTTTATACAATGCAAGAAATCTGTCTATTTCAATGAATTTTTAAAACATTTTCCTATACTTATTTTCATACAAAAACTGGACAAAATTTTTGCATGATATTTGATTTAAAATGACAGTCATGTATTATATACTCCTATTTTTTACCAAGATTTTTGCATTATTATTGTTCTCAGATATTGTATTTTTGAAATCAATACAAAAATGGATAACAACCTTTTAACATTGCTTTATATCACTATAGATCATGATATTTCTTTATACTTTACATTTTCAGACAAGAGAGGAGGTATTAATAATAACTGACAAAGATTGGTATGAGGAACTGGTACTGAAATTGCTTTCACTGCAGGAGAAAACAGGTGGTTTAGAGATCTAATTTACATTTAATTAGATATTCCAGCAGATAGGAGGGTGTTGGAAGGCACCAAATCAAGACTCCAATCTAGCCATGTGATTGGTGGAGAGTTTCTCTCAGTATAAACATATCAGAATGTACTAGGTTTCTCTCCAGTAAGCCGTTTTCTGCTAATCTACGCAAGATGTGAACACAACACAGGCACTGAAGGATTTTAGCACGTTTTGTGTGAAAGGAGATGAAACTTAGATAAAATTCAGCCCAGTTTTTAAGAAGTTCTGTGAGATAGACATAATAAAGTTTAAGTGTTTTAGGAGGAAGAGGTGGATTTAGATAATCATTCTCTTAATAAAACAATATAGCAAAGTGTTATATACCTGTGGAAAAAATGAAAGATGAAAAGAAAGAAAAGTGCAGTTAAAGTGTTGAAAAATATTTGAAATATACTTATTTTCAAGAGTGTGTCAAGAATTGAAGAGAAAAGTTTTCTCTATGTGATAATTAAAATGATGTAGATTTTCTAAGACTGAAAATTTTCTATAGTTGAAAATGTTGATATATGTTTTCTATGGTTGAAAATCTCAACAACCACTAAGCATGGGTCTTAGATTATTTAGACGGACCAAGACCCTTCTTCTTACATTTGGATTATTTTCATTAGGCTTTTATCTAATTCTTAACACCTTAGCTGTTGAATTCAGTGCAGAGAGTACTGGTATGATAGGAAAACATCCGAGAGACTTGTCATTACCGAAAGAGAAATCCAAACTTCTAAATGAATTCCAAGCCAACTTTGTTGTTAAAGGTCAAAGAAAGCCAAAGACAATGAACTTAGAGGGTGATGACCACACAGAAGAAAATCTTGTTTATGAAAGGAGAAATAAGATTGTGAATGAAAATAAAAAGATTCAGAACCAGCCAAGACCTCAGTCTATAAAATCAGATCGGGACACAGTCAAATTTTTACAAAAGCATTATAGACATGACAAAGCAGAGAATGGAAATGCAGATAATGGTGGTGAAAAGTTTGATGATGAAAAGATTGAAGATGACTATGAAGGAGAGAATGATGATGATTATGATGATAATGATGAAGACTATGATGAAGATAATGATGACATTGATGATGATGATGATGCCAACAACAATGATGATGACAATGATGACTATGATTATGATGATGCCACTAATGCACCTTTCAAACCTGGTGACTTCGGAGATATTAGGGGACTTGAGTATTATAAAAAACCAAAATTAAAATATGCTGAAGTTGATGCTGTTCAAAATCATAACCCTGATGACAATGATGTATTAAAACATTTGGATAATGAAGCAGTGAAGGCAGAAGAAAAACCTCAGAAAGTCTTAACAAATGGAATGTTTTGGTCAGAGTATGTGGAATCATTATTACCAAAGGGTAAGTTTCTAGCAATTATTTAAATTTCATTTTTATTCAGTTTCGTTTGACTCGAGAGATCAAAGCATTGGAGTACATTAAATTTTCTAGTATAGTCAACATAGTTCAGTAACCATTTTAAGCAGCCATAATGCAGCCATAATGCAGCAATACATAAGCCTTTTTTTTCAAAACACAATAATTATGAAGTGGTAAAAAAAATACTTTTCATACTTCTCTGATACATGAACATAATAATAAAATAATTATCTATCAAAGATTGCATGATTTATCTGAAAAATTAAAAATAGCCAATGAAAGCATTATGCCAGAAATAATAGACAGTATTCCTACATGTAGATCAAATACACAAAATGTTTTTTACCCTTAATTTATCAAAAAAAATTTCCAAAAGCAGGAAAAGGATAGTTTAAAATCAATAGAAAATTGGATCTGAAATTCTTTATAGCCATCTGATGTCAATAATAAATTATATTAATGATAGTGCAACAAACATCTTAAATGTCAATATCAAAATTCATGATATTTTTGTCAATAAATGTAAATTCATAATATTCATAACTCTGCTGTCAATTTCTTAAATTCATGATAGTTGAATGCTGTCTTATATAAATTCGTAACAGCCATTTCTGTCAATAATTAAATTCATAACACCCTTTGTCCAAATCAAAATGAAGTAAAACTTCTGTCAATATCTAATTATTGCCAATATTTAAACTTACATAATATTTTATTGTGTCAATATGGCTTTCAAAGCAATAGAATATAAATATTTAGATTCCAATTTGAGGCAGAATGTGATAATTCCTTAATTTTTTTACCTCTAAATATCAGTACAAAACCACTTTCATACCACAACATTCTTATTCTGCTATCAGAACATTTTGTTGAGGACATAAAATCCCTATTAAATGAATCTATAAAGAAACCTACCACATAAATATCAAACATGTAATATTTACATAAACCTATCAGCGGTATACAAGAATATTATTACCATTGCAATGTCATAAACTTTTTAGAATGTTACATACTGGTCTGTTATACATTAAATGGAATAATATGAGTATCATTTTATTAATATAGATCAAATAGAATAGTTTAATTAAGCTTAATTAATACCAGGACAATTAATATAACATGATCCAAAGCTAATTGCCTTTATCTTAATTGAGAAATCCTTCCTAGACTACTAATACCTGTATTATTTTATGGTTGCTGACTTTAAACAATTATGCACCTGCAAGTTCAACTCCCAATTAAGCACTACCCTTTTGAATTTATATGATTTAAATGCCCCCGTCACACCAACATGGTGTTCTTACGATGATCTTAACCAGTGTTTTTTGAAAAAATGCCGAAGTCGTACTAAGAACCCTAATGTATTTTTTTGGCAATTTTGCAAATTTCCATTAGCCATCACACCTGCACCATGCTTTTTGCATTTCCGGCATATTATGGCATTTATACTGCATTTACATGGTTTTTATAGGGTGTTCCTACATACTGTTACTCTTACGACCCTATTGAAATTTCAGTGTGTTCTTGGGGTGCGCACTACGACTTCCCCAGTGACTATTGCATTCAAACATGGTCTACCACGTCCTGGAAACGCCAAAGTCATATAAAGAACTACCTAACACACTGCAAATGCCCTTAAAAGTGTCACCATAGAGTCACCAGTTATATTGTCTAACAACTTTTGCACATTTATAACGCAACTATATGCGGCATGTACAGTATGTTCTTAGTACATGCTTGGGGAATTTACAGGGTTCTTACTGCAAAGATTATGTTCCTAAGATGTTCTAGCCAAGGATGCACTGAGAACGCTGCTCCTTGGCATTTCTTTTATGTATGCTCAAAATAGTCGCTGTGACTCCAACAGTTCTAACCCCAATAATACTGGTTATAGAAAATTCACACTTCATGCAGGAACAATTTGTAAATTTCTCTTACTCAATCTATCTCAAATTAAAAAACAACACTTTCTCTAAAATGTTCCACATCATGTTAATCTTGAATGAAAAAAAATCAAAATTAACAACAAATATATATTTAATCTTTAATCTAACCAAAACAGCGCTATCTTAATAATCAGAAAATATCAGCTTGGAAAATTCATTTATCATGGCTCACTTAGATTACATGTGATAACCCTACTGACTTTAGAACATAAATCTATGAAGATTCTTCACTCAAAAACACATATTCCCATTTGTCTCAATCAAAGCATTAAATCTGACAAGAGATTTTTATTTATGGACATGAATATTTTTATTTATGGACAGTAATGACTATTGAAAGTTGTTTTTGTAGGGCTTGTCTGAGTTGTGGAAGACAAAGGAACATAGATTTTAACACAGGCAAAATGTTAAAATGCTGGTATCAAACTGTTTTATTGCTTATGGGTATTCAACCAGAGCAAATAAAATGAATATTTTTATTGTGAGGGGTATTCAAGCAGTAAAAGTTAGATAGCTTTATAATTATTCTCATATTTTAGTTACAATGAAAATTGTTACAAATTGAGCGTGTTTGTAAATTAAGGGGCCCATTTGAAAAGCAATACACAAAATAATGGAACATTTTACAATGGTAAAAACCAGTTTTACATTAGTTATATTGGTGGAAAAAAGAATTAAAGGAACAAACCCTAAAAACATAAAATTTGAAATTTACATTTATGAAGCGAAGAACCTAAAATAAGAATTTCTTGATAATAAAAAATATAGCCAGATTAAAAATGAAAATCATTTTTTGTGCGATTTTCAGCCCAATTTGAGTGAAAAGCATTGCAATGCTTTTTCAGTATTGGTCATTTTGCATCATAAAAATGATTATTCTAGAAAACAGGACTGAAGGAATGATCTGAAAATTTGTACGCACAAATAAATGAAGGGGAAGGGTAACAGAAATAAAGGGTTCAGGAAATTTATCCTATGGATCCAATAATTTAAGGGAGGAAATACTTACAATTTACTACAACACACTAGTCTTGAAGATACATACAAACAAAACACCATCATTTGAAATAAGAAAGTGAAAACAAGACATTACATTATAAGGAAATGATAATAACTTTTTAGAAATTCAAAATAATCGTACAAAAGAAAACTTAGTATACTATCAATTTTCAAATTTACAAAAGAATTAAATTAATATCATGATCTTAAATTAGTCCACAATATGCATACCTTAACCAAATGATCTCTGAACTGATATCCATATAATTAATACCGTAATTGTTTTATTTTTCCTTATAAAAACACAACTGAAGTACTGTAAAATGTTTTGAAAGAAACAGATAACTTTGACAATGACCATGTATACATTATTACTGTAATCATGTCTTTTTATTCTGACCAGAAATCACCAGAAATCGATGATGCCTCGTCAGGAGAAAACCATGCAGTAATCCAGATTTATGTCAGCTTTAATTTGTCCAAAATGCTTGTGTGTCATTGGTGTATAACACCACTAATAATACATTTTAATGTAGATCATTTCATTTTATTGTTATTTTACTCTTACTATCATCTTTTATGCATATAAAGGCTTTGATATCTGTTTAAGTCACAAACAAGATCTTGCAGGCTCAATGACAAACCAAGTCTGCATATTCATGCAAAATATCAAATTTATGTCTCTGTTTTCTACATAAAGATAGACCATATGGAAAATACATGTAGCTAATTACATGATTTTTAGGATCAACTTCAATTTTTTAAACAAAAACTGATCCAATATGGATTTCTTTCCCATTCAAGATATGACGGGATAATAATTTCTATTGTCATTATATTGTCTATTAATTTTCATTGTAAACAACAAATTCAGTAAATAATGCCTATATATTTTTTCCAAAGAGAAATATCCAGATTAGAAATAAGCCAATATTTCTCATTTTGACAAAATTAATTTCAATGTATCCTAGAAAATCCTCAGCTAATACTTCAAATACAAGATTAGTTTTAAATAATTCATAGAACATCATTCATCTGTCAATGACTGATTAACTTGAGAGATATAATCATATTAAATTCTGCATTCACTAGGGAATCATGCATGTGGAATAGAGAAAAAACCTCTACTCCAGCTAGCTAGCTGTCATATGAAACTTTTACCATACAATTCTAACAGAAAATTCTTCAGGTTTCTTTAATAGACTTCTCCCAATTACATATGAAACAAGACAGTCGAATATTACATAATTTTGAGAATATTACATGGGAATTTGAAGCCAAATGCCTGGTGGTTAATGTCTTCATCTGTCATTTACCCAGGGATCGTGGGTTAGAGCCCCTACATAAGTGACAAACATCACAGTTTCATCAAATCACACTAGTACAGCTGCTGAGGACTCATTAGTTGTTACAATAAGTTCAAGCTAAGATAAAGATATGTTTAAACTTTGATTTCTCTCTTTGACTCTCTTTGACCATGTTGACATGAGAAAATACCACCAATCTGGCCACTAACAATGCATCATGCTCATTAACCCTTATACTGCCGGAACCAAAAGTGATATCAAAGCCCTTGCCATCACTATAAAAACAGTCAGTATACATCAGATCTATATAGTCTGACCAGACTCTTTATTGTTGGTACCTAAAATATTATTTTTGTATTTTGATATTGAAATCTCTTAAAATTTAAATTTACTGCTCACAGATTCAAAGCAGAGAAAATCCATTTTACAAATTCAGTAGGTTAAGGGTATTGGCCATATCCTTTAACAACGATAGGTTTGAACAGACATGAATTATAATAATTTTGAAAGGGCATATATTTATCCATAATGCTTAATCATAACCAGAATATTAGTATAGTTGATTAACTATTGTACAATTAATCAATGTTCTGAAGTTAATATAATCTCATATAGACAAAATTGTCACTGTGTGGGGTCAAGATAACAACTTTATCCCTTGATATATAGGACATTTTCAAAATGTACTGTGCAACAATATACCAGGCTGACATTCAATGTAAAGAAA